GTGGATGTTGGCAATTGTTGCCAATCACATAAATTTGTTTGATTGTTTTTCTCTTTGGTGTGTGCATTGTGTGCTTCCATTCACATTGGTGGGATGTGGTATAAATCTCAACATATTCTTCAAAGTTTCCCTTTATTTAGTTCAAATGCAGTCACATATTCCTTGTGGGAAGCAACCCTTTTTGTTTTTATTTTTGTTTTTTTTTTCTTGACAGTCAGGTTATTGCCTATTCATTAGCATTTTATTACTGCCCCTAACAGATTATTGTACTGAGTGATAGCTTTGTGCATATCTCTGAATCATCTCATTGAACAATTCACATTTTCCAGCTTTGCAATTTCTAGAGACTCGTCATTCTCATTGAACGGCCCACCTCAAACTCTCAAACCTTAAAAAAGATGGAAAAAACCCTAAAGAAGAATTTTTCTGTCTCCCTCACCACGAATCATTCTTGTATGATTGTTCCTTCGTTGGGAATCTATTGCTTGCTAGTTGAAATTGTTTCCCTCACCACCAATCATTCTTGTATGATTATGTTCCTTAATTGATATTCTTTGAATATTTTCTTTCACATTTATCCCCCACATTTTTTTTTTTTTTTTTATGGAATCTTTAAAAAGATTTTGTTCAAGGACAATATTGATTTAGTGACTGTTTGAGTTTCTTTGATTGCGTCTCACTTTTGTGTTGAACTACCTAGAGGTTGTTGGTGTTATGTGTTCTATAGTTCCCAACCTTGAAACCAAAATAATTTTTAGAACCACTGTCGACATTTCTCATTTTGGCACCTCTTACAACTAATAATCAAAGTTTTTAAAGGCAAATGTGTAACGCGAGGCATTTTACCTCTTGTGAGGGGAGGCATAAGCCTCAAGACATTGAGGCATATGAATTTTGAATTTTAAATTTTGTATTAAAATAGTGAAAAAAATTAAAAATTAAATATGCTATAAGTACTTTTCTCTGTAAGTCATCAAAATATTTCATTGTAGAGATGGAAGCTTGCCCTCATCAAAGGTGAAATTGGCACTTTTAGCTTAAGTTATCGAGCTTTTCACTCTTAGTGGCAAAAAATTCCTTCTTGGTTGACGTTTCTTGCTCAGAAACACGATTCTTAGCTCCCAAGGAAGAAACCTTTAAGAAACTCGCTTCCATTGAGGAAGAAACTCACACCAGTAGGTGCCAAAACCATTCTATCCAAAGGGACAGGAATGAAACAGAGAATTGGTAGCATCATGATCAAGGAGAAAATCAATGCTGGCATAATCTGTATGACCTACCTTCCAACTGGTGAACAATTAGCTGATGTGCTAACGAAGGGACTACACAAGAAGCAATTTGATAAGCTGACTAGCAAGCTGGCTATGGAAGATATCTTCAAACCAGCTTGAGGGGGAGTGTTGGAAATTTGTGTTAATGTATATAATAAGATGGTGGCATGTATATAATATGATAGTGGTGTTGGTGAAGGATAGTGGCATGTATAGAATATGATTGTGGTGTTGGTGGTAGATAGTGGCATGTATATAATATGATAGTGGTGTTGGTGAAGGATGGTGGCATGTATATAATATGATAGTGGTGTTGGTGGTAGATAGTGGCATGTATATAATATGATAGTGGGGTTGGTGAAGGATAGTGGCATGTATAGAATATGATAGTGGTGTTGGTGGTAGATAGTGGCATGTATATAATATGATAGTGGTAGATAGTGGTAATATATAATATGTAAGTGGCATATAATGGGTTATAATGATGTTTGTAATATCTCCTATATAAGGAGTGTCATTTGGTCTTGTAAAATAAGAAGTTTTGAATATAACATAAATATATTCCTTCTTCCTCATATTTTCAGAGTTCTTCTTCCTCATATTTTTCTAAGTGAGTTCTTTCCTTTTTTCCTTGTTATCATCCATGCCTGTTGGCCAATGATGGTTGTATAACATTTTGGGCATTTTTGTGGCTGTGTTTTGGAGATTCAACATCTCTGCGAGACTGACCCCTTGTACTGAAGTTCTTTTGTAGCTTTTGTGGAAGGCGGTATTGACAGAGATAGAAATTGAAGTAACGGAAAATCCTGTATTAAAAAGCATCTAGAGTAACTGGAAAGGTAGAAACAAGACCAGATAAAATTGATTGTATGAACTAATCCAAAATCTCTTTTGATAGGGGTGAATGGAATTTGGTACATAAATCAATTATTAAAAGCGGAGGAATTGATTTTGTTTTGGCATCATTTCTTTCCTTGCTGTTACTTTAATTGAATAGTTTGTGTATGAGATCAGAGCACCAGTATAAAAAACTTTTTGCTATCACTTCAAGATTCCCATGCTTAGTTTCTATTTTTTCCAGATGTATTGGAACTCCTTTTTTTATTTATTAATATAATATATAATATGAAAGTAGTGGACAAACAAAAAAAGATGGGGAAACTTGTGTAAATAAAACTACTTCAATGAACTTACAAATCGAATGTTTAAATTTAATGAGATACTAATAAATTGAGTACATAAATATTACTATAAAATGGATTTGCATTACAAATACTTTTCTTTGTGCATATCCTTGCCTATTATTAAGTTTTATATGCACTGATTGTTACTTTTTTGCTTGCAGAATCCCTGTTTAATGCTTTTGCAACTGCCGCATTTTTCAAGTTTGTTGTTTTTTCAATATTTGAGATGAGGTATCTTCTTGCTATATGGAAAGCAAGTCGGCCTATGAATAATGGAGAGGGTTGGGAAGCAATGAGGCGTGAACTTTCTGTTCTTTACAGCCGGTTCTGTGAGTATTACTCCTTTTCATACATACTCTTTGTCTTGTGTGGAAAATTGAAATTTTTTACTGGAGATTTATTTTAGAGATTTACTTGGTGTGGGAACGTATATTACATGTCAAAAAACTACCATTCTCCTACTTAAAAGTTATATCTTTGTTGAAATATATTCTTCCTCTTTGACCGGGAATATAAGTAAGCACAAAACGTTGTGAAATGACAACTAAATCTACTGTACTAAGTATTACTTTATAATTTTTATTTTATTTTATTTTATTTTGTTTTAAAAAAAGCTTTAGTTGGATTATGTCGAAGTCGATGAGATTAAATTTTTATTTCATATGTCTCTTTTTCTGCCAAAGTTGAGTTGCCATTTTGGGGGTTTAAAATTGTTTTCAGATCCTGATGGAGAGAGATTTCCATCAGAAGATGGGAGAGGGGTGCGTTTATGGCATGTAAATTTTGATGCACCCCTCTTGTTTGATATCCATGACTCAGATCTGGACGATCTATACTGATGTCTGCCTTTAGACCCTATTTAGTGTTTTGCTTGATCCATTTAGAAAATAAAAAATCGGGTTAATTTACCAATGGCAAAAACTTTCAGGGGTAAATTATTTATGGTCATCACCATGCTTTTGAACATTGTTCAAAAAATAACGAGGCATGGAATCTATATTTTTAACAATCATAAAATTGCTCTGTTATATGGCTTTAGTAGTTATTATTTGATTTTGGAACCATTGTGTGGATGTTTATCTGAAATTACTGTAACTATTGAATAATCTGCAGATGGGATACTATTAGGTGGCATTTTGGTCATGTATGAGTTTCATAGATTTCTGCGGCCTATTCTTCTCCTTATACACTCCTTTTGGATCCCTCAAATCGTAACTAATGTCGTTCGTGACTCAAGAAAACCATTGCATCCTCATTACATCTTAGGCATGACCATCACTCGGCTAGCAATTCCATTGTATGTCTTTGGCTGTCCTCATAACTTCATGCGCATCGAGCCTGACAAGAGTTGGTGTATTTGTTTGTGTGCATTCATGGGATTCCAAGCATCAATTCTTCTTCTGCAGCACTATCTTGGATCTCGATGGTTCATCCCTCGTCAGGTTTGGTGCAACTCTCATTTTCAAGCTGCAATAGTGATATTTTCTTCTGGTTACTAACAAGATACACATTTTAACCCATGTGTGTACACACAATAACCCCTTCCTGATTGTTGCGTTAAGAAAGCATTGTGACCAACTCAATGAGGGCCCCTACAAAACCTGTGACTAGAATGCAGTCTCTGTATATTGATGGACTAATACTCATCTACAAGTTTAAGCTTTTAGAGTGAGGGCAACTTTATTATTTGTATTCTCAGCATAAGAAACTTATGTTCAGTGTCTTTTAGGAAGGGTACGTATCAAAATGTACAAAAATGATACATTTGCATGTTATCTGAGTACTAGGCCTATCTATGATGACTCCATGATGTACTGTGTCATGCAGCGTTTGCTCTTGTTTTCAAGTTTCAGATTCAAATTTTGAATGCAAAACAGTTGGGGCATGCCCTACAGACTGCTAAAACTTAACACTTAGAATATTAATCACTACCCATGCGCCTAGCAAGTCCCCATTGAGCTGAGCCAGAGCAGAAGTTTCTTTGGCTAGAGCTTGAGCACCTTGCAGTTCATCAAAGTGAATTGTCAGCCTGATACTAGGCTTGACTTGATCCCAGCTACTTGAGGTTGGCTACATAATTTTTGTTTTGGACAAATTTCTCGTTTAGGACTAAAACTTTGACTAAACAAAGGCTCTGGCATACAATTGATAAATTTTAATATTCGTGTTTGTAATTGCTTTTTTTCTTTTTCATATGGTTCTCATCATAATATTTCTCCTATTTGGCTTAAGATAGGTTGTGTACCATGATTGTGCGTGTAGAAGGTTGATTATGTCATTGTTTAGTGCGCTTGATTTTGTCTCAAGTAGGGTATTAGTTTCAATACATTATCTTAATAATAAAACCTGCCTACTAAAAAGAAAAAAAATAGAAACATTTATGTTCTGAAGCATTCATAATTGTATCTATCTTCTTCTTCTTCTTCTTCTTCTCTCTCTCTCTCTCTCTTAAATTTTTGGATACAGATGTGTAGTTGCAATCCCATGAGTGCACCACTTTGAACTTAAAGGTTGTCAACTCTGATTTTACATAGAATTTATCTTGATATGATGGTGCAGATCCTTCCTGAGAAATATAGCTATTACAGAAGGTTTGATCAGGGTGCAAATCATGCCACTGACTGTGTCATTTGCATGACCGCCATTGATATCACTCAACGTTCTAGCGACTGCATGGTACTGTATTTATTTCTTATTTAATTGTTGAGGATGTGATCTCTCTTCAAACCATTAATGACAATACTAGGCAAATTTTCTAATAGGTGACACCATGTGATCATTTCTTCCATTCTGGTTGCTTACAAAGATGGATGGATATAAAGATGGAGTGCCCAACTTGCCGGCGTCCACTACCACCAGCCTAAATAGATCAATCAAATTACTCTATGCTTATATCACTTTGGATCAATTGACATAGCCCAACCTGTTAATTGAGGTAAATTCTCTCTCTCTCATGGAAGGGCGGATTTTCAGCCCCCATGAGGGCCTGCAGAAGACACTTCTATGTCATGACTGCTATTGAAAAATTATTTGAGCCTTTGAGGCCTTTTGACAAATATGGCCTCATTTCTATTCGTATTTATGTCATGTTGCAAAACAATTACTGGAAATTTCACAAATGGTTCATTATTATACAGGAGACTCGCAAATTCTTTATATATTCTCAGATGCAATACATGCTTTGGTTTTAATTCTAGTTTTTTTCAAATTCTTTTAACTTTGACATTTCTTGATATTATCTGTTTAACATTGTTACATTGACTGAATCCCAATAATTTCTCTGAGCAACTTTGTTGTATAATTGGCCTGAGCTGGGTATTTCATATGGCCCCTCAAAGGGCGCATGATTCACAACCCACTTTTGACTACATCAAAAGTTGCTTGTGACTACGCAAGTTATGATTCAATGCAATGGGCTATGACTTATGACCCAATGTGATCACATACAGTCCAAGACCATGTGATCAGATTGGGTAGTAACCAAACTTGAACTTGGTTATGGCCCAATGTGGCCTTGGCTGTGTACGTATTATAGAATTTTTCATTTCATAAATGTACTGACGTGTCATTTTGTTTTAGGTGATGAAAAATGAGGAGGCACGGCACATTAACCATGATCAAGTCAGGGCTGTTGCAGTTACACTAACAGTTTGCGGCTGGCAATCATATTCATGAATTGTTTGTATATTGTGTATTAGTAGTTGTTTCAACGACGAAGTTGTAATTCTTAATTGTATTTTCTTCTCCCACTGAAATTATATTTCTCTTCAAGGGTTAGGTTAGTTCAAGATTATAGCCCATGTCTGTGAGAGGGAAAACCGAATGCAGCAATTTTGAAGCTGCCAGTATAAATTAGATGTGTACTTTGCTCATTCGTACATTCATTTGAAGAAATTGTCGATCTTTAAATAACATACATATCATACAAATACTGTTGAAAATTTGAACCTACTGAGTTTGGACACTGCATTAAGATGAGAATGGACTGTCACATCCTATAAATTCTCTTTAAGGGTTTTTAAATTTATTTATTTATTTTAAAAATAAAAATTTATTTATATGCATTTTTCACAATTGTTGATATGAAAGTCTTGAAATAGCCTGGAGATAGTCATGTGAAAGTCTTGAGGGACGAAAACCTTCGGACAAAATTTAATAATTAGAAGTGTTTTGAGATGAAAAAGAGAAATTTGAGGATAAGCGATTCACTTACTTTATTTTCTCCGTTTTTCCCCATCTTTATAGATTGAAACTCATCAAAAAGTATTCTCTGGTTAGAGTTCAAGAGTGCGAATATAGTTTTTATTTGTAGGTTTTCAAAATCAAAAAAGTTAAGAAACTAGAATTTAACTGAGAAACAGGAAGTGAATGTGGGGTTTAGATATAACTCTAGGCAAGAACACCCAGACATAAAAGCACTTCAAATTGAAAGTATTTACACATCACCTTACTCATCCAAATTTGGATTCTTATTCTAGCTTGCAACTTCACACTCACCATCTTAGACGGTAATAGTTAAGACCAAACTAGCCATGACTAGGAGGAGGAGGAGCAGCTAGAGGCCCTGAGGCACCACCACCACTACCACCACAGCACTGATAGCTGTAACAGTCCACAGGATGCTCAGTCACAACATCACACTCCTTCTTGCTCCTCTGCAACTTCTTTTCCGGCAAACAGTTCCGACGATCATCATAAGCAATCCCTTTAGAACTCAAGTTCCCACAAATCCCCTCTTCCTCACAAAAAAAGTTATAAGAAAATGTAAAGTTTTGCAAACTAGGCAAAATACATATCCCTTCATGCACACTCCCACTCATCATGTTATGACCCAAATTCAAAACCTCCAAGTGAGCCAACCCTGCAAAGCTATAAGGTATTGTACCCACAATATCGTTGTAACTAATATCAAGCAGTCGGAGTTTGTACAAAAAACCCACCTCCTGCGGCAAACAACCTAACAAGCTAGTGTTAACTAAAACTAGTTCCTCCAAAGTGTCGGCGAAGTTGGAAATGGTGGGAGGAATGCAGCCACTGAAGTTGTTGTTGGCGAAAACTAAGACGCTGGCGGAGCTTTTGCCTAAGTTTGATGGAATGACTGAAGAGAAGCGGTTGTTGTTGACAAAAATGGCATCGAAGTTTCGCGAGAAGAGTTGGGGAGGCAATGGACCTTCGAACTCGTTGAAGCGCAGGTCGAGGTAGCGAAGAGTTGGGAGAGAAAGGACTACGTCCGGGAATGGACCGACGAAGCGGTTGTTGGAGAGGTCGAGCTCGAAGAGGAAAGTCATGTTTGAGAGGCTCTGGGGGATGAGTCCACAGAAGCGGTTGCTGTTGAGGTGTAGGAGGGCGAGGTCGGAGAGAAGGCCGAGCTCGTTCGGGAGGAAACTGTTGGAGAAATTAAACAGGATTCACTGTCAGAAATTTTTTAAAAAATAGCAAACTAGTAATTAACAAAAAAATATATATATACATATTGATGCATGTAAAATTGTGTTATTTTGACGGGATTGAAAAGTTTACGGTAACAAATTAAGATTTTAGAGATCAAATTACTTTTTAAGAATAAAATAATTTAGTTGTTAAAAGTATATTGTTATATTTTTACTGAGGAAGTTGGATATAATATATTAGAATCTTTTGGATCAAAATTGATGTGATGTCCATTTATTAGCAACATTTAAAATTTTGTTGTTAAAAGTTTATTTTTCCAACTTTATGGGACTTTTTTTTGTGACAATTAAAACTAATCTCCTAATACATTTTTTTATAGGGTAAACTATTAATAGATTCTAACAGTTGAACTTAATTCTTATCGAATCCTATTGAAAATAAGTCATAATAAAATTATTGCTAAAAATAATTTTTTGTGACGGTTTTTTGCGAGTCGCTAAAAATGTAACTTTTTTGTCACAATTTTTATAAATTGTTGCTAAAACTTACCATTTCTGACATTTTTCTGTGACATTTTCAAACTATTACTGAAAATTAAAAATTAGTAACATTTCTTTATGACGATTTCTTTAAACTGTCTATAAAACTTATAATTAGTGACATTTTTTATAACAAAATTTTTAAAATGCCATTGAAAATTAATAATTAGTGACGTTATTTAATAGAGTTTGATGAAAAATGCCATTAATTCTCACAAGATCTATTGGACAATAAATTTACTTATTATTAGGACCTACACATAAGTCTCCCTTTCTTTTATAACAAGATTTTTAGTTTTGGAGATGAAAATATTTAGTCCCAAAAAGTCCTTATACGTTGTAATAAAATAAAATATTATGGGAGAAGGTTCAGAAAAGCTTATTAAGGTAATTTAGGGACACAAAATTGAAACGCCTACTAAAAATATTTCTCATTACTTGTAAGTGACATAAGTAAATCAGAGACTAGTAAAATTAATTCAGCTAAAAAAGTAAATTTCAAATTAAAATTAAAAAAAAAAAAAATTAGGAGAACCCGGCCATGTCGGCAGAATTGAGATCTATGCCGGCAACGGTGGTGATCTTGGTGTTGTGGGGGAACGGGGCACAGTATACACCGGTGTAGTTGCAAACAGAGGGACCGACCCAGTTGGATGTGAAGTTGTATGGGTCAGAGTAGATTACAAGCTTCCATGCTTGGAGAGCAATGTAAGCTTGCTGGAGTCTGGGATTGGTTGTGGTGGTGGGGGGGCTGCGGCGGCTGTGGTGGTGGCGGGTGGCGGTGGAGTAGCTGTGGTGGAGAGTGTGTTTGGCTGCTAGGTTGTTGTGGAAGGATGTGAGGTGGAAGAGTAAGAGAATTAAGGCAGTGGCTATGAGGGAAGAAGAGTATGATGATGAACCCATTTTTTGTTTTTGTTTTGGTTTGTTTGGGTTTGAAGTTATGTGGGCAATGTGTGACAAGTGAGTGTGAGATTGTTTGTTTTTGTAAGGAGTTGTTGTTTCATTTTCAAATCAAACGTTTCAGTCTTGTATTTCATCATATTATTGTTGAGATGCCTAATGTAAAAACACTTGATTTGTTTTTGGGATTATAACATGTAAATGGGTTATTACAACGACCTGTTACAGCGACCGTTAACCGTTACAAATGAACCCCCTAATGTGTACTATGTTTGAACTGGTTTTAATTTTCATGTTTCTGATAGATAGAAGAAGATTAGTCATAGAAACTGTTTGCCAAAGTAATATTAAATAATGTATATTTAATATGAAATAATATTTAATAAGTTAACTGAGCTTGATTATTGAACCAAACATTTTCTTTATTATTAAGCTTTGAGCTAAGCTAGAACATGAATAGTATAAATGAGCCGAGAGCTTGAGCTGGATTAATTTTCGAGCTTGATTTTCCAACTCCATAAATAAACAAGTCGAGTTCAAGCCCTACAAAGCTCGATTGTGCTCGGCTTGTTTTTAGTCCTGCACAGGACGACTAGATTGAACATGAGTTACAAACCATGAATCGAGAGAAAGGTCGGACTCAAACTGAAAGACTAGAAGAAGACGATGCGCATGATAATGACTTAACAACTTCTTCCCCAGGTAGTTTTCACAGTTGTTTCAAGTGGAGCTCGACAAAGACATCTTCATTCAGCCCCCCTGTGAAGAGAGAGAGAGAGAGAGTTATCTTGGAACCGAAGCGATAAACATGTTTTGTAGCAAAGGTCTCGAGGTGATGAAATTAGGAGAATAGCTTTCAGATAGACAGGCTAAGAGGAAAATGATCAAGCCCTGGAGGATTTATGTCCTTGGCTTATCAGCTTTTAACTAGTTTTCAAAGAAACATATGATGATGATGATTAACACTAACAGGTCACAATCTAACTCATTCAATGAAGTTCTCAAATGGAAATGGTGTTGGTGTCAGAGACTTCAATCTTTAGGTCTTGGCAAAACTCTAGGATTAATCCAATCACATTATGAACAGATGGATTTTCCAGAAAAGTGAACTACATCATGAACAGATAGATTTTCCAGAAAAAGTATAAAAAATTCGAGACAAATTTTACCAGTAATCCGTGTAATTTTCCTTGAATTTCAATATAGTTCTTGTCATTTCAATTACAATATATGTGTGACAAATAAGGACAATTACGGACGTTAAATTTAGAAACTTTCTCCCTCTAGTTGAGAGCTGCTCTCTCCCTGTACTTTTCTTCTCCTAAGGTTTCTAGTGTGCAGCGGCAGTCGGGGTGGGGAGGGGGTTTCCAACGACCTCCGGTCTCCTCTCCCTTCCTTCTCTTTCATTTCCTTGCTTTGCTGTCCAATAACTTGGAAGCTTTGGCTTTCTATTGTCTCCCTACTTTGTGAGATGTTTCTTCTCTCCTTCGCTGCAACTTCGGCCATGGCCTCACCAGATCCGCCGTCTCTCCTCTTTTCCGCCTCCACCTGGTGTTGCCTTCGCATCTCCTCCTGGTCAGCCTTCACCGCCCTTGCTCACCGCTCTTTCTCCGCCAGATTAACTGCCTCCCTTTCCCAGATCTGTCGCCTTCGCCACTGCTGGATCTGCCACCGCCGCTGCTGGAAGCTGTGGTCTGTGGGTTTGTGTGTTTGATCAGTAAACTTACCCTCTTTGTGGTTGGGATCTATGATTTATCTCAGACATACTCTATTATCGAGCTCTGATGATTGGCTCTACTTTGCAATACGAGTACGAGATGCGCGGCTGAATATTTTCATAGCTTGTCTTATTTGTGCTTTTAACTATATTTTTACTTTGTTTAATATAAATGTTGAGTTGAATAGACTCTTGTGCCATTTGACTTTCCTTAATATATTTTTCTATGAATCGGGAAAAAAAAAAAAAAATGGACAATTAGGGTGTTCAATTGCAATGAGCTTGATTTCAATGTTAATTTTCAAATTTTTTTTTTATAGCACATAAAACTTCTTACAAGACAATCCACATAAACCATGCAAAGCCCACATAAACCATGCAATTCTGCTTCTGCAAAATCAAAATAGCATCATAATGGAACCAACGGCTCCAAGCCTTCAACGGACTTTACCAAAACTATTTACTAATTGCTATATTACTTCAAGATCGTATCAGAGAGCGCGAGACCAGTTGAGGAGTCGAGCCGATAAAAAGGAGGAGAGAGATCTATCTTCTAGACTCACAGAATCAGACCCTCTCATCTGCGAAGTTGGGGAGGGAAATATGCGCAAATCCCAAGCATCACGAGTCACCTTCCTTCTTTCCTCCCCATTAATTAAGAGGTCTGGGAATTTTCACAAACAAGTAAAAAGTTTGTGCTGGCAACTATGCCTCTCCTTAAAGAGTTCACGAAGGATGTGAAACCTACTTCATTGCCAGTGTAAAGGCAGGCGTTTAAAAGGAAGCTTATTAGAGGATTGAATTGACAAAGGAATTGGTTGGAATTCTTTATTATGGAAAGGAATAGGGTAAGGAAGAAAGAAAGCATCTGGAAAGCTAGCCAGTTCTTGGTCAAGGTTACAGTATTAAAATCAAAGCCCCCTTTCAAATGCAATGGCCTATATATATTGAAAAAAAAACATAAAATTAGACACAACTAACAATATATCAAAAAATCACAACAAATATTGGATTAATAAATTATTCAAATAACATATGTATGGAAAAAATAACCACAAAATTACCCCAAAAAACTGATATTAACCACCTTGTACCACAGAATAATAGACATCTCGAACTTACAAGTCAAATACCAACTTGTGTAACTTTGATCACTTGCTGTTATCATGAGCAACAACAGTTATAGACCATATAAATGTATCATAATCTCAAAGCCACCTTACTAAAAAAAAAAAAAAAAAAAAATCTTAAAGCCACAATCCAAAAATAATTATACTAGCAGTATCTATTGCCATATTCGACAAACCACTCACAGCATTACATTGCCAATTAATAATTAAAACAATGTCATATTTATTTTTCTCACCAAAAAGACAAATATAAGCTGTAGTATATAAGCTCAAGCACACAAAACATGAAATCCCTAAATATTTGGGAAAATATCAAAAGTAACATTGTTTGGACAAAATTATTTTAAAACACAAATTATAGTAAACCTAAATCATCATACTTTCATCATCATCATCATTATCACCACTGATATCATATTAGCCACCGCCAGATCCATATTTCTTTCCCAAAACAATGAGCTGCAACTTGTCGTAACCAGCGAGCACACCAGCTCCTGCGACAGCACGCAATATGTTTGCTCCAGCACCCTTAAAGAGTGATTTAGGTCCTTCATTCTTGATGATCTGACTAAATGCATCGATAGAGCTCTTGTACTTGACAGCTTCTCCCGAGGTCATCATCATCCTTCTACGCACAGTATCAATTGGGTAAGAGCCCAATCCAGCACCAAAGGTGATTGCCCATCCCAGCAAGAAACTAGCTAGGAAACTATCCTGTAGATATTAAACACAAGCAATACATCAATGTCCTGCACCTGGAATCTATAACCAGTGCTGCATTGTGTGAAAAAAGACAGCCCAACGCTAGCCTATAGCCTCTGGCTATATGCATTGTGATGCAGGTGTGATTTTAGCAACAGAAATTTTATGTTGTGTTCAATAGGCAATCTCATGAAGCGTGGCTCTTCATATTATCAACTAGAAATAGGAATTCCCATTTTAATGTTTCTTGCCATGCCGAAGATTTTATTTATTGGTTTCACAAAGTTGAAATTTCTTTAAGTATATTGAAATCTTTGAAGATTAGCAAGTCAAATATGCAACGCATAAGTTAAACAGCTATGCTTGCTTCTACATGGTGAGTAGCGACTGCCATATGATTGGAGACAACAATATAACGAATCCATAACGATGTGGCACAATATAACGTTGATGAGCATTATATTCCTTCAATCAAACAGATGTTATATGAACGATATCAAAGAAAGGTTGAGTCGAAACAACTGTTCTACAAATACACACTATTTTTCACGACTTAATAACTACTGTGTGATTGTGGATACAAATTATTCAATGAGTAAGTTGATGAGTCTGTCAAGTTCAGATCAGCAGCATATTGAAGGCATGAGGGATTTGAGTATTCTGAGATTTGACAAATATAAAGACAACAATAAAGGCAAGATGTTAGGAGATATTGTCGAACATGATGTAGGAGAGTTGGTGGAAATAAACGTGTTCAAATATTTCAAGCAATGAAAACTCAAGGATGAGTCATCCGCTTTGACCAAAAAAGATTAGACGGTGATGACAAGTTCACACAAGAGAACACAAATACTACAAAGACATTTACTTCAAGATTAGGCAACAAACGAACCACTATGACATCTGAGCTGCAAATATTTTCCCAAACCCATGTAGAGTACAACCAACCCCATCACCGCTCCATTTACAATTTCAAACAATTCAAATATATAACAATTATGTTTTATTTGTTTTGGGTATAAGGCCATAGAACTGGACTATGTATCCTAGCCAATCCTGAATCTCATGTTTGTATACAAAAAATCTCCGGACTGATTTGATAATCACACCAAAACTGCGTTATCCCCCATGGGAGGGGAGGGGGATACAAACGGGAGGAACAAAAGAAGTCCAAGATTAAGATGTTAAATGACCAAAATACCCTCAAAATATAGTCATTACACCATGTAGTCTTATGGAATTAGTAATCCCAAAATTATTAGTCCTAGGACTAACAGGGGTTGTTTAGAATGTTCTAAATAAGTGTACTTTTTGACTTTTTGGACTAAAAAATAGAGGAAAAAAATATGATTGTTTGGGATAACTTTTTGATTTTTTACGAAAAAAATGTGTATTAAAATATTGTATAAAATAGCAAAATTACCATTTTACCTCTACTATATCTAAATGTCTACAGACTTGGCTTGTCCAGGAAGCCAGACGGTGGGCAGCAAACATGTATAGAAGCAGATTGTTTAC